AAAAAAAAAGCTAGAACAAAGGATTTTTAAATGTTATTATCACCAAAAAATAAATCTTTGAGTATATAGTATGCTTACCCAGACTTGAACATTACACAATATTTATTGAAACATTGCATGGCACCCCATAAATATGTACAATKTTATGTATCAATTTAAAGTGAATATATATGTATATATACATGTATATGTATACATATACTATATACATATATAAAATTGTCATATGACTTTTATATTTGGAGAGGAGAGCACCCTAAAYTCAAGTGAAAATGGTTCTATCACTATCTGTTATTTTGTGTGGATCTAGACTAAAAAAATTACTCATTACTTTTCTCCTATGATTTTCTATTAAATAAACTCTCAAGTTCCTTGTTTCAAWGGTACCTACTATTTTTAGGCAGAACGTTACATTAGCCTCGTGCTGGGCAGGACCCTACCTGCTGTGTGGGGTTCCCCCAGTGGGTGCGCCCTTACCACTTGTCTGATGAGCAGTTGTGCCCCTGTCTTTAGGAACGACTCACCCGCCGGTTCAGGAAGCTCAGAAAGGACATTGGAGAACTTCAGCGGCTCAAGGCTCAGGAGGAGGAGAAGCTGCAGGCTCTGCAGGTGGGTTTCTCCAAATCCTAGGAGGGAGGGATTGTGTTGGAGAGTCCTCAGGCACCTCTCTTCCTGTCCCCTGAGCAGCCTGAAGAGGATGGAAAGTTGCTGATGCTAAATACCTGGGTGTTGGGTTGGGCTTCAGGGTTGGCTAGAGGAGTGACCTGGGGCATGATAAGCCCTCTGACTTTCATGTGACTTATATTAACTGAAAATCAACCTTACTCTCTCTGGTGACATTCAAAAGAGACATCAAGTGAAAATTACTACACCCACCAAGGGCTCTGTCCCAAGAGCCCTAGGTGGGAAGTTTCCTTTCTTTTGGTTAGTCTTTCTTTATGAGAAACACAGCTGCCTCTGTGATACCTGTGACACAGGGAGGCTGTCCCACCAGGGGAAGAGGACTGAGGAATCAGCATTCTTACTCGGGTATTCAACTGTGGAGGGCCAGGAGGGAGCCATCTGACATTGAGTTTTAGGGAGTCCGTTTTCTGGAGATTCAGGAAGACTGTGGAAACCACAAGTTGGAGGCTGAGCTGGTGAGTCAGCACCAAAACAAGGGACAACTGGATATTATCCCTCAACAGCAGCTGGAYCAGCTGGAGGACACATCAGCAGAGGAGGCCAGAATCCTTGAGCTCTCCAAGGCAATAGCACAGATCAGCCTTCTGGTTGCTGATCTGGAGAGTACGGCCAAGGAGTTGGATGCCAATACACTGACGGTGTGTACCTGAGGCACCTCCCCAACACTGGGATTCTCTCTGAATACTATGCAGCCCACCTACAGCACCCCTCCAGGAGATGTAAAGGAAGTACTCACGTTGTACATAGGGGCAAGTAGTGGTGGTGTTTGTCCAAGGTCACACCCTGCTGCTTCAGCCTGGTAAGGTGTAGAAGGAGGGTACAATCCCCTGCAGCTTCCAAGGTGGCCCCCAGAGTGACCTTCAAGAGCAAGTTTGGAAGGGAATTTGGAGGTGTCAGGAACCTGAGACCTGATTGTGATTCTCACTCTCTTTCTCTCTTTTAGACTGCCAGTGACTTACTGAAAAGGTATGAGTCATCCCTTTTCTCTTYCTGCATGTACAGACTCATCACATAGAGGTGCACATAGACTTCATCATTTTTGCCTTCATGCTTCATGGCCAGTGGTGTCAAAGGAAAGCAGGGAGTTGAAACTCCAAACGTCAGCTGCTATGTTCAGATGAAAGAAGATTTAAAAGTCATGCAAGAGAACTTTATTAGAAGTCAAAGTGAGGTGAAAATAAAGTAAAAGAAAAGTGAGGCTTAGCAAAAAGCACTCTCAAGGGAGAGARTGGGCTGTCTCCAAGCAGAGAACAACAAAGGAGACAATGCTGTCCCCAATTTTATTATTGTTTTTTATTTACCAGGAGAACTGGGGACCATGTTCTGTGCTCTTTGTCAATCAAGTGTTCAACTCTTCCTTCACATTGGGCAGTGGAGTTACTGACCTTAGTTGGTCCTCTCCGAAACTGCCATAGTGGCCATCCTCTTTAGGGAAGGTTTCATCTACAAGTCAATCCCATGTTAATGTGAGCATTGGGGTCATTAGCTTGTCAGAAGTTACCTTAGTGCACCCACTAAAGGAATCTTCCTTCCCAGACAAYTGGAGACACTTAAAGCCATAATTCTGACTTTTATGTCAACAACAATGGACCCTATAAGAGTTAGTTCCATTAATCCTTTTCTCTTGCCATGTTTCCCAATTAGCTCCTTTTGCTTGTTTATTTTCTACAAATCAACTACTACTCTTTGCTTTCTCTTCTACTTTGAAGTAGCTTAAAGAAGGACCCTAAAGACAGGTGCACTGGCACATGCCTGTAATCCCAGTGGCGCGGGAGGCTGAAATAGGAGGATCAGGAGTCCAAAGCCAACCTCAGAAAAAGTGAGGTGCTAAGCAACTCAATGAGACCCTGTCTCTAAATAAAATACAAAATAGGGCTGGGGATGTGACTCAATGGTTGACTGCCTCTGAGTTCAATCCCTGGTCCCAGGGGGGAAAAAAACCTTAAAGTAATTTAAAAAAACACCTGTGACCTTGCCTGCATTTCACTGCTCATTGCTAGCGACTACCTAACAGTGGAAGATTCTACAGAATATATGAATTTATCAAGGATTTCTTTGTTTCTAGGAGTACTCCAAAGAATCTAGATGAACTCCTCTCTCTGCTTGCTCCAGCTGGTCCAGTGGCCAATTAATCTTCCTGGTGCATCATCAGGTCTGCCATCTCCAGAACACATACCTATTTTGTCATCCCTACAGCCGTGATCTGATGCCTGGATCTCTGACACCTGGACTCAATCTCCTTCCTGAATGAGGTTCATGCTATGGCTCTCACTGTGGAAGTCAGATCCATGATCTCCAAGACCACTTACATGATCTCCATTTTGCCTTTAAACCAATGATATTAAAATAAGCACCTAGGTATCTGGGTGGCATGAGCTCACCAATGATGATGCCACGTCAATACATGGATCCCAGCAGGTTTGTGGGAGGAATATTTCTTCTGAGCTTCAGTAGCACCTGTTCTTTGTACCATCCAACTGTCACGGTAGACAGACTCCAGGGGGATCCCCATGATTCTCACCTCTTGGTGTTCATGCCCTTGTGTGACTTCCTTCCCCTGAGTAGACTTGCTTCTCATCATTGAAAAATGGCAAAGATGGTGGAGTGTCACTCTAGTACTATGTTACTTGGCTTAGGATTCCTCCTTCCTAGCAGACTCAACTCTAGAAGCTCTCCTTGCTGACCTGTTGAAGTGGGAGGATCTACCTTCTAACCAGTAGGAACAGGGACCCTTAGTCTCCCAGCTATAAGAAAATGAATTCTGCCAACATCTGAGTAAGTAGATTCTTTTCCAGTTGAGCTCCCAGATAAGAACCTGGTTCATCTGACACCTTGATGACAGTCTTATGAGACCTTAAGCAGAACATTCTGTTAAGTTATGCCCAAATTTTTGACCCGCCAAAAAACTGAGACAATAAATATGGATTGTTTAAGGTAGTAAACTTATGGTAGTATTAATGGAAAATGGACAACTAATATAATTGTATATTAATTACTTATTCATGTATCTCACTTCTTTGGGTGAGCAAAGATATTACTCTATGTCCTCAATTGTTGGTGCCTGGCTCATAGTTGGTGCATAATAAAACTGTAAATGGAGGCAATGAGTGAATTAATAGCATAACTTGATCCTCCACGTATGAAAGGAGTCATCAATTGCTTTTTTTAATTTTTATTTTTAGTATTGGGGATTGAACCCAGGGATGTGCTACCACTGAGCTACTTCCCCAGCCCTTTTAATTTTTTATTTAGAGACAGGGTCTCACTGAGTTACTGAGACTGGCCTCAAACTTGCCATCTTCTTGCCTCAGACTCCCAAATCACTGGCATTACAGGTGTGTACCACCATACCCGGCATCAATTGACTTTTAACCAGTATTATTTAAGCCTTTGTGAGTCAATACTGTACTAGGAACTTAGGGATTTAAAAAAATGGCCTCAAGGAGGTGCCATGTTGTACTGCCAAGAGTGAAGACTCTGGTGTCAGAGTTGAGTTTAAGTCCCAGTGYTGAAACCTAATGCCTCTGTGGCCATGGACATGTCACTTAGCCTCTCTGAACATCAGTACTACCCCCTTTAAAGTGTGGGTAATGGTACCTGTGGCCTGMAGTGGTTGTAAGAATTAAACTCCATTGTGCATGCTCAGTGTCTGCTGCAGTGTCTCCCACAGTGTAAAACATCAAGTATGTTACTTCCACTACTTTTTTAAAAATTCCACTTCCCCATCCAGAAGCTACAAGAGAGTGTGTAACTGGGYTAAATATCATGGATGTTAAATGCTTGGGAATTGCAAGAGAGAAACAAGTGAAGCTGGATGAGTCAGGGCAGGTTTCATGGGGGAGGTGGGGCCTGGACAGGTTGGAGAGAAAGGTRAAAATATTCCAGGTCAGACTATCACTTGAATGAAAGTATAGAGGTAGAAAAAAGCCATGACACAACTGTAGACACATGAGGAAACTGACTGCTCATCTGGAATGTTCAGGAACTAGGGACACCAGACGTCAAACAGGTGAGATGGATGAGAGCAAGTTGTAGGGGGCCATCAAAGGTTTTTGAGTTGGGAGTGAAAAGGAAAGTGGTGTTTGCAGTAACTAGTCTGGATCCTTTGTGCAAGATGAACTGGGCAGTGAGTTGGGGATTCCAGAGAGGCTAGAGGAGAAAGAGCCTAGTGTAGATGTTCAGGAAAACAAGAGTGTAGTAACTTGGCAAAAAGGTGTAGATCTCAAGAAACCTAAGACCCCACATCTAAAAACAAGACAGCAGCCAAGGAAAGAAGACCCCTGAAGGTGACAGCTAACAATCCCTGACTCCTCTAATGGGTTAATGTCATAGAGAGAACCTGTCCAGAAGTGGGAGGAGTGGGAGGAGACTGAAACTAGAGGTCATTTATGCTGCAGTTGCCTGCCAGGGCCTCTGACCTCTTCCAATGGAGCCATAGATGATTGGAACAGGGGTGGGTATCTGGYCAGCAGATGGTTGGCCAATTGAGTCTATGGGTTGCCTGTTGAGAAAGAACCTGTCAAAGAGGGACAATAGTGATTCACTGAAACCATCAGGTTCTCCTGGAAATTCAAAAGGGATCTTTGATAATAGTATCATTAGTTGGCAGGGAAACTACTGCAGACAGCAGCCGAGCTGCCATACAGCAGATATTGAGAGCAAGTGTTCATGACCCTGTTGCTGAGTGACTACAGGATGGTCCTGTCTCTACACTTCCTTGGACCTGAACCCTCCTTCCTACCAGTTCTTGGGCTTGTAATTGCATGATGACCATGAACACAAGCCTGGGAACCAAACCACCTGATTCCCAGTGCTTGAGCAGCTGCTCACTCTCAGCTGATATGGGACCATACTCAGCCTCCACATCTCAGTTCTCTCTCATGCAAAATGGGATCTTACCAATAGTACCTACCTCATAGAGTTGATGTGATGATTAAATGAGTTAATATATTAAAATATTTATTATGGCAATTAGTCAAAGTGAGCTGTGTTTGTTCTTATTTATCAGCAYTTTTCAAATTTCTAGTTCTTCCTATGGAAACTGGTACTGTTCTCCAATYCCCTAGCCCTTGCAAGAGCTTCTGTGAGGCCTTAATAATGGTGGAAAATCTCATTTTCCTTATTTTGATGTCTATTCTTATAATAAACTTTCCTGTTATCTGAACTAACTGGAGTGGGCCTCCTTTCTTTGCAAGAGAAAGATCTGCTGTAATGCAAACTGTGAAAAAAAATTAGGGGTAAACTTGCGGATGTCACAGTAAGTGTGTGACACTAGAGTATGGGTCTCTAGACTTTAGCACTTACTTCCTGGGGAGGGAACCCAGAGTCTGATTTCTGCAAGCAGAGCATGGAAGTTCATTGGRGTGCTTTATTGTAAGGTCACTATTTTGGGATTTATCTACTTCCTCCAAAAGTAAGTAACTTTCAAGTAAGTAATTACCTTAAAGGAGGAGCAGGTCAGTATGAGTATTTTCACTCACCAGCAGTTTTATTCCCCAGTTTAAGAAATATAAGCCTTTTTTTTTTTTTCTGAATCCAAATTGCCTGTGTGGAGCATAGCCAGTATTAACATATTCACCAGGTTCCCCAGGCGTCTGCGAAATAACCAATTCACTAGGCCTTGGTTTCTTAGCTTCAAAATGGGTAACTCACAGAGTTACCAAGATTAAGTAACATAATTGTGAAGCCCTCTGGCTGGCCTGGACCTTCATACACATATTTAAGTAGGCTCATC